AAGGTGAGTCTGATTCAGGCCATAGTCTTTTTGATTACTAGTTATGCATTTGAGAGGTGGACAATTAATAAGGATGACAGAAAAAGAATTAACATCTTTGAGCTGTGGTGTTGGAAAAGAGCACTGAACATTCATTCCATGGACAGCCAAGAGGAACAGCTATGAAGGCAAGAATGTTGAGGCTTCACATACTTTGGATATGTTGCTAGGAGGTGCTACTCTTTGGAGAATATCATGCTGGGAAGAGTGGAAGGTTGGCAAAGGAGAGGAAGACCATCAGTTAGGTGGATTGATATGGTGACTGCTGCAATGGGATCTCGTGTTTCAGGAAGTATGAGGATGGTAAAGGATAGAATAGGTTTCAGATCTTTTGTTCACAGGGTCACTATGAATCGTGCTTGACTCACAGCACATAACAACAACAACAATACAACAACAGCAACAACAGCAGGTATTTGTGAGATGAGATGGACCAGCTTTGGCCCCTTTGAATCAGATAATCATATTGTATATTATGCAGAGTTTGAAAAACAAAAGAAAAATGAGGTTGCATTCATAATCAAAAAGTCAATTTCAAGTTCTATCCTGAAGTATAATGTTGTGATAGGGTAATAGCCATACAAGGAAGACCCATTACCATGACTAATATTCAAATATAACTCCTACATCTAGAGCTAAAGAAAAGAAATGGAGAATTTTTACCAAATCTTACAATCCTAAATTGACAGAACATGCAATCAAGATGCATTAATGATAATTGGGGACTGTGATAGTTTTTACAGGAGCACAATTAAATGTTCTAGAATTAACCATTTATACAGGGTGATAGGTTGAATCATGTCCTTTCAAATACATATGTGTAATTTGAAAGGTATTTGAAAGTACTTGAAAGTAGCAATCTCTTTTAATCTGATAAACTGTACAGCTGTAAAAAAGATTTAAAGTAAGCTAATGGCAATCAGGCAAGGGGAGTTTCTGGGGTCCTTTTCATTGTGTTACTGTTCTTTTTGCCCTTAAAAAGTGTGTGAGCAGCCCTAACCCTTAGAGTAAGGGTAAGTAAGAGTGGAGCCTGCAGAGCCTGCTCTAGGCAGTAGCTTAAAATCCTGTAGGGCCCTCAGGCCTGCAGCCCTCTGGCCAGTCTTTAATTGTTGTGGTGAAACATTCTTCTAGGTTGTTTTGCCCACTTGGGGTACAAAGGTTACTCGTGGTTGCTGTGAAGCCCAACAATGTGACACTATGAGTCAAATGTGATAATCATTACCCATGGTGGACAGGGGAGCTCCCTCATTAAAACAAACTTGGTAGCAGGAGTGGCATCCACTTCTATAATAGCTTGCTTCTGGTAACCTTATGAACCTGGAGAAAGGACGAAAGTTTTACCAGTGTCCAGGTTTTCTGTTCATAGGGTCGCTATGAGTCACCTACTACTCAACAGCACTTAACAACAACAACAAAACAACTTTAAGTCTGTCCCAGACCTGATTTCATGTAAGCTGATTCCCTGAAACATCTTTATCTCACAAAACATAAAAGTTTCATTTTATGTTTTTATGAAAAACCAACAGAGATGAGAGGACCACAGTACTTCCAAGACAGATGAACTAGGAGCAAAGTATGTTCTTTAAATCTAGGTCCCTGTGCTGGGAAATTGATACAGGGGAAAGGCAAGACACATGAACATATCCAAGGAATGTTGGGCCTACTGATGCTGAAGGAAATAAAGATTTCCTCCAGCACCATCGGAGGGAGAAAACCTTATTCCAGAGCTGGTTGACTATGAGAGGATCTCAACCCTTCTAAGACAATTTACTAAGATGTCAAAACCCAAACTAATAAACACATTGCCTTGTGAAAGCCCACCTGAGAGCTGAGCAACATTCCACACTGACCGCATCTTCAGAGAGACATTCCAATCTGCCTGGTGTAAGGCGACTTTGGCCAATCAGAAAAGAGCATGACCACCAACCACATCCTGCATGACTGAGCAGCTCCATATTTGGGAACTAATAAAGGGCAACCTATGGACACCCTCCATGGAGAACTGTCAACCAGGCTGACCACTCTTCCCCTAACCCCTTCTTAGAAAGTTTGGCCTGTAATTTCCTCATTTGCAACTTTGCTGCCTGACTCTGCCTTTCTCTGGCAGTAAACCTGCCCGAGAGCCATTAATAAACCTTTTGTTTCTCTTCACCTGGTTCTCTGTGCTTTTTTCACCTTCACCTTGGACTAATGGTGACCCTGTATGAACAGGGTAGGATTACATCATAGGGTGTCCAAGTAAGTTGGAAGGATGAATTCCTAAGCAGAATGCCACATTTTCTCCTTAAGAGTAGCTGGTGCCCTTACCGTCTGCTTCTAGCTTCCTAGACAGGAAAATTTGCTGTCAAGGATCTCTCCAAAGTGATAAAAAGCAAGGATATCAGTTTAAAGATTAAAGCACATTTGTTCCAGTCCATGGCATTTTCAATTGCTTCCTATGCATCTGAAAGGTGGGCAATAAATAAGGATGAGAAAAGAAGACTTGATGCCTTTAAATTGTACTGTAGCAAAGAGTACTCAATATCCCGTGGATATGCAAGAGAACAGACAAATCTGTCTTAAGGCAAGTGCAAGTAATATACTCCTTAGAGGCAAGGATGGTAAAATTTTGTCTACATACATTGAATTTGTTATCATAATAAGCCAGTCCTTGGAAAAAGACATCATACTAGGGAGTGGTTGAGAGTCAGCAAAGTGTTATAGCAAAACTGTGACTCAGAAATGACCAGGGACATTCTCAGAGAACTGAAAAAGGAAAAAATTATTAGCTAGTGCCCCAGAGGAACTCTTGTTCTAAAGCTCTGGGCTTCAAATGGCAGGTAGGCATTCCTTTTATACTGAGTCTGCACTAGGACATAAAAATGTGTGGGATTCCTTTTGTAGGTGTGGCTCCTTTGAGGAATAAGGGCTGGGGGAAGGGCATGCCTTAGAAATGAGGAAGGGGGGGCAGGAAGGAAAATGTACAACAATGAATGAATGGGGGAAAATTAAATGGTAAGAATATGCTACAAAATACATATATGTTGCATTAAAAAATCATTACTATAAAAAAAAAGAGGAAGTACATGGGGTGGGGAGAAGACACCGGGGTTCTTTTTCCAGGGGCTAAAATTCCTTAATGAATTTCCCTTTCAGGAGAATACAATTTTCAATGAGACTGATTTACACAGTGACTGTAATTATGGGCTCCAACATATTGGAGATCATGAAGATGCAGTAGAATAGCGCAAAGTTCTATCATTCATAGGATTACTGTAAGTCATTAGTGACTGTAACTGGGCAGCACCTAATAATAGAACCAGTTTTTAAATTAAAGAGAATAAATTTCTACTTGTTTTTTTAATTTTTTTTATTTTATTATTTTCGTGTGCGTGTACTGTCAAATCAGATCTGACTGGTACAGGAGGAGATTGCCCCTCCTTCCCTGGCAGAGCATCGGGTGGATTCGAACCGTGAGCCTCTGGGATTGCAGTTGCAGCTCCTTGCCACTAGGCCACCAGAGCTCCCCAAATTTCTACTTGTTAATGTCATTCACTTGTAGCTTCTATTATATATCAGCAGTAAGTAAGCAAGAGTTATGGTCTTTAAAATAGAATCATTTTTTCTTTCATGTTCTTAAAATACCAAAATTTGAGGAAAAGAAATTTAACATAGATTAAAGGAGGGAAGAACTGACGTCCTAGCAAGGCACTCCGGTGACATGGTCACTAAAGTACTCAACTGTTAACCCAAAACACTGGCTATTTGGGAGAAAGTGGTGGCACTCAGCTTGCCTGAGGATTTACAGCTTTGAACACTCTATGACACAGTTGTCCTATTCTGTCCTGAACAGGGGTGCTATGTTTGGTTTCCTGTTTCTGTCAATTGTCTCAGGAGATTTGAGATTCTCTACCAGCGTAGATTAAGCGCTGGTGGCTTAGTGGCAAGAAGCTACGCTGCAATTCTGAAGACACTTGGTTTGAGGCCACCAGCTGCTCAGAGGGCGAAGGATAGGGAATCAATCTCCTCCTGTGATTAACTTGCCTCTGAAAACTCGCCTGAAGGTCAGTTGTGGGTTGGTTCCGCCTCGATGGTGCACAGCAACAATCTAGCATATATGGGAGACACTATTAACTCATTTACTGAATTATTCTCTATTTACTGAATGCCTAGTATTTTCGAAGAGTTGGGGACAAATAATCAACAATTTCAATCCTTGAACAACTAAATTGTAGGGAATGACAGTTCTGAAGGCTAGCTTTTTCTAAGTCTGTAGTTCCAGGATTCCCTTCGACCTAAGCTAGAACTGTATTTACAAATATTGTAGTCAGATAACAGTGGGAATTCTGCTCGCCAAGTTGGGGGGGGGGGGAAACTGGTGGAACTAAGTCTTTTTGTAGGCCAGCCTCCACGTGGATCTGCTATAGCTAAAATGGCGTGTGGAAGCATTTTTAAATCGCGCGCTCTGGCTGGCTTCCCAAGACTCGGGAGGGGTGGGATAGATTGCAAGACATTGGTTCTCCCAGCCGTCAGCCCTCCCCTGTTTTAGGCACTGGGGAGGATAAGAAATGCATGATAATCAGGTCTATCCCTGGTGAGCATGAAGAAGATTACCTGCCCGCTGAGCTTTATGCGGACACCCGTCAAGTCACCACTACTTCCTGGTTGCTCTGCCCTTAACAGACATGGCGGCTGTTTAGCTTCAGTCAGGCTCACTGCGGTTGCTCAGAAAGCCAAGGTCGGGCAATCGAACTACAGCCAGTCTCTGCCGCGGAGCTGCAGGGTGAAGCCTGGATTGCAGCGAGTCTCTGCCCTAGCTGTGCAGCTAGGAAAGAAGAGGGGATAAGCGCAAGCCAGAAAAGACGTGAACCCAGGGCCGTGCAGCTGTGTGCTCATCCACTATCCCCTGGCACCAAGGCTGCTCGAGCTCCAGGGTGTTTTTTCCTTGTTTGTCCCCGCCACATCCTGTTCCCTGGCCCAACATGATATTGACTAAAGCCCAGTACGAGGAAATAGCCCAATGCTTAGTGTCTGTGCCGCCTACCAGGCAAAGCCTGAGGAAGCTGAAGCAGAGGTTCCCCAGGTAAGTGCCCATCTCTCCTTCACAGCTCCTTGCCTTCAGTGGTGCTGTTTGGACAACCCAGCCAACGCTTAGGAACCACGTGTCACCACATTAGTGGGGAGGAACATATGTCAGGCGGTAGCAGATCAAGGGATGGTGGGAGAAAGGCTTCCTTCACCTGTTTTCCACATGGAATTTTTGAGTTCATAGCAGCTTTACAAGGCCTGGCAATTAAAATCAACAAATGTTTATTCAAAATTTACTAGAAAGTAGATGATGGATGTAGATAGGAGTTACTTAAAATGTTCAGGGAGTTCTGGGTGGGTAAGGTTTTGTGCTGCCAACTCATCATTCGAATGTATTAGCTGCTCCTTGGATGAAAGATGGGCCGTCTCCTCCAGTGCTATTTACAACCTCTAAAAACCCTCTGGTGGGGAGCTCTGGTGGTCTTAGTGATAAGGAGTTGTGCTGCCAATCCAAAGAAAGGTGGTTAAAATCCACCAGCAGCTCCACAATCACCTGTGCGATTGATTGCCTTTGAAAACCTATAGGAGGGTCAGCTATGGGTGAGTTCTGACTAGGCAGTTCATAACAAAACAACCTTGCTGGAGGGTCAGCTAATGAGTGTTTCTGACTTGAAGGCTATGAGTTACTTTTTGTTTCTGTGGTTGTTAGTTTTTTTGTTTCTTTAAGTATTCAGTAATTGATTGACTTAAAAAAACCCCACAAAACAACCCCTCATTGTGGTCAGGTTGAACTTATTGCAGATGTTACAGTGAGTTTTTGGAAGGTGTGAAATCCACCTTCCCCCCCACCCCTGAGCTGCTGGTGGATTTGAACTGTCAGATGGTTGCAGTCTTTTGTTAGCAAGGCAACACCCTATGGACTATTCCACCAGACCTTCATAGTTAATTAACAAATGTGAGCTATGAATGTTAAGGTAGCAAGGGCTCGCTCAAAGTGGAAAGACAAATTGTAGATTCAAAGAAAATGAGAGAATGTTGAATAGTTGGCAATTGGAAACAATGGCAAGACCTAAAAGAAGCCCCTACTGTTTGTTGAATGTCAACCAGTAAAACCAGTAATGCCTGAAAGGGACCTCAAGCTTTCCCAGACTCTTTCTAGAGAGGACTACTTCAAGGAATCCACTCTTTATCATGAACCATTTGAACAGCCACGCCTGAATAATGTTTCTTCTTATATTCATGTCCCGCATACTCATATCCACCGTTTCATTGTATGTGGTTTCAGTTACCACTAGTCATTCACAATCTGAAAAAATTAAATGGAAAATTCCAGAAAGAAACAGATTGTGAATTTTTAATTGCATGCCATTCTAAGTAGCAAAAAGGAATCGTGCACCATTCTGTTCTGTCCACCCAATATGTGAATTGTTCCTTATCAAGCATATCCACCATATATGTACTACCCACCAGTTAGTCAGCCCCCAAGAGGTACTCAGTAGCAGTATTTGTTTTCAGATTGACCATGGTGGTATTTCAGTGCATGTATGGTTTTACACTGAACATTTTATTTTTGTGTTTTTGTTAGTTGCCCTTGAGTCTACTCTTATGCAAATGAGGGTAGACTCAATGACCCTATGAACCACAAATTAAAACTTTCCCCTTTCCTGTGTTATTAATATCTCGTGGTGCCTAATTTATAGAAATGAAATTTATCAGAGGTGTGCACAAGAAGCCCTGGTGTCATAGTGGGCTATGTGGGGTGGATTTACTTTCCTTTGGTTTTTGGATGTAGGAAAAAACATACTTCTATACTACCATTATGTTTCAGGCATCCACTGGGGGTTCTTGGAACACATTCTCTCAGATAGAGAAAGACTATTATTTTTTTAGGGAGCTGTGATAACTTAGTGATAAGAAGCTGCCAAGTAGAGGCATGTGGTTCTGCTCCAAGAGAGACAGATGGGCAGTCTCCTCTGGTTTGATTAACTGCTTCTGAAAACCTGCTGGAGAATCAGCTATGGGTCAGTTCCCACTAGATGATGCATAACAACAATTCTAGTTTATAATGCTTTCACCCTCTCACAGCTCCCCATACATGTTTGTTCAATGATATTAGATTTTGCCAACTAAAGAAGACATTTCTAGAAAATTTAAACTGTCATAAAGTTCAGTGTATGAGAGTTATGACTAGAAGAGATCCATATTTATTTCCATTAAAAAAAAAGTGATCAGCAGAGTGTGGAAATTATTGAACAATATCACTGGTATCACATGTTAGTAAAATTCTGCTGAAGATTATTCAGAAATGACTGAAACAGTACATTGACAGAGAACTACCAGAACTACAAGATGGATTTAGAAGAGGTTGTGGCACTAGAGACATTGTCACCAATTTCAGGTGGATCTTGGCAGAAAGCACAGAGTACCAGAGGAATATCTATTTGCATTTCATTGACTATGCAAAGGCATTTGGCTATGTGGATCACAATAAATTGTGGCTGACCTTGAGGAAGATGGGAATCCTAGCACACTCGATTGTGCTTATGCAAAAGCTATATTTGAACTAGGATGCAGCCCTCAGAACAGAGCAAGTAAACACTGCATGGTTCAAAATCAGGAAAGGAGTACGTCAGGGATGTATACTATATCCATACCTTTTCAGTCTTTATGCGGAACAGATCATTTGGGAAGTTGGGCTTTATAAGGAGGATGGTGACATCCGGATTGGAGGAAGACTCATTAATAGCCTACGTTTTGCAGGTGATGCAACCTTGCTTGCTGAGACTGAAGATGACCTGTAGCGCTTGCTGCAATATGGATTGAAGCTCAACATCAGGAAGACAAAGATTCTCACCACTGGGCTAATAGGCAGCACCATGATAGATAGAGAAGAGATTGAGGTTGTTCACAGTTACAGCTTGCACAGCTTCTTAATTTTGACATCAGCAGTCAGGAAATCAAAAGACGAATTGCGTTGGGAAAATCTGCTGTCAGGGACTTCTCCAGAGCACTGAAAACAACGGTATCAGTCTAGAGACTAAAGTGCACCTAATCCAGGCCATGGTCTT